GTTGGCTGTAGCAAGGTGGACTGCAAGCGATTTCCAAATGTCATACCTCATTTCCTTTCCACCTTTCAGCATTGGATGAGACATGTATGACTGAAGCAGGGAGTATCAGTGGTAACAAATGCATGTCAGAGGTAAGAACAGGTGTGTGACAATGTGTTTTATCTAGACCCATTTCAAATTAATATGAGATACGGAGGTACAGTAAGCTTAGAAGTGTTGAAGTCTAAGCATAACTAGAGAAAAACAGCTCGAAAAGTTTTAGCCAAAAGTAATGTGCTGGGTAGGTATTATATAGGCAAGCACTTAGATGCCAAAAGCCTGTGTCGCTTGTTGAACATGACTACTATTTGCTGCTGCTTGCTTTTTGCTGTACATGAGTAGTACCTAACCTTTTCCTTACACCTCAGGTAACTCTCAAGAAGCACTCACTCTCTCTGGTTTATAAGGCTGTTGCTTCATGAAGCCCATAATATCTGTTTCTCATCCTGTTTTTACCTTGGGATTAAGTAATTTCTTCTCTACCACCTCTGGTATTTCCAGTCATTTTTTCCCCACTTCCCGACCCCCCCCGAAATACATCCCTAGCCTTTTGGGCTATCAGCTGGATAGCCCTTTGAAACAGGTAGGCATGCTACAACAGAGAGAAGATAAACAGCCAGTCCCTGAGACTAGACGTAGGCAAGTTACTTTTAACTGGGTGAAGGTGAAGCCTCACTCTTTCTGGAGCTAGCAGTAGTACTGTTGGTTCATCTGACAAAGCTGGAACGTAGCAGTAGTTGGAATGCGTGCCTGTCATGCTGAGAGGGGACCGGTAAGAGCAGAATGTGTTCTTGAACAGTAGTATTTTCTAGAGAATAGGTGATCAGGTCAGGTCTGGAAGTTTGATTTAGATCTGTCATTTAGCCCTTTTGACTGGGTGATGGAAGTTTAATGGCAAAAAAATACCGCTGCTGGTAAGTAAGCAGTTTTACTGTGCTGCAGGACTTTGCTTAATTTCCTTTTACCAAGGAAAAATTTCCTTTTGCCAAGCTGAGCTATGCTGTCACAGTGGAAATCTGAAGGGTCTTCTGGATGTTGCTTTTCCCCTATTGTGTAAGAAAAGACACAAACTTTTGATAATGAAGTCTTGTTTGCCATGTTCATCTGATAACCTGATGCAGCTTCCAAGTAGGCATCTTGGTTTATTTCACCTTTCTTTTAGTACTTTCATAAAATGATAGATAACAAGCCTTCCTCCCTCTATACCTGGTACATTAGAGTTAGGGTCTGTGAAGAGTAAAAAAAATGTTTCAGTGATGTTAAGAGAACTTTGATGGAACTCAAATGGCTTGGAACTAAAGAAAACTGCTAACATGCTTCTGTCCTTACATAATACTGTAAGTAAAATGTAATCATTATATACTGAATTTACAAATTGGATTGCTAAGAAAATTTATTATTGATGTTGAAAAAATTTATCAACATAACTGTGTTCAAGTTTTACCATGTCATGAACAAATAACCCCATTCAAGGAGGGGAAGAGCAAAGCAATAGGACTCCGGAGTATTTGTACACAAATAGGCAAAGAAACCAAGTGGGAGAGTGTTTCAAGGCCCTTTTTAGCTCTGTAAAGTAAAAAAACACAAAACCCACACCACCACTTCCCCACCCAGCCCCCCCCCAAACAGTCCTGATAGAAAACTGGCAAAAAGGCATAAATAATATGTAGACAGATGCAAACCTGCTTTCACATCTTGTAGCTACTTGAAAATCTGTTAGGTGTTGCATCTGCAGAGATACATCTTTTATCACAGAGTGCTTAGAGAGCTGGCATCAAGAGAAGGTCTTTGGTTAGTAATGTGACTATATAGAATTCCTACCTTGTTTTGGCTTGTCAGCAATATATGAAACTGGTGTTTTTTCACCAGTTTTGTATCCAAGGTAGGAATTGTGTCAACATCCCAATTTCCACATCACAATCAAGTTTGTTCAGCCCAGCAATCTCCTTTCAAAGTTGTAAATGCTCTGTTAGGACTGCTGTTTGTCTTTCCTGTCTGTGCTTCCAGTTTTGTTCCTTACTTTGTAGTGCATAAGGGTCCTACTTAGGAATTCCTTTAGGAATTCCATTCCTTTAGGAATGAGTTAATGAAATACCAGAATATTACAGTGTCATGCCATTAAATATCTCTAAGTTGTAAAGATGCAATAGTGAAATTATTTTCTTTATTTGTCTTCTGGGTTGTTTCTTACTCCTACTGATTAAGTATTTCTCTAGAATTTCAGCTCTGTTTGACTAAGTTTCTGTAAAGCTGTGATTTATTTCTTAGCCCAGCCAAATTAGAGACTACCAAAGGATATCTGTGGATCAATTAACCAGGATGGAAAGGAGCAAGTATGTTCACTTACATTGAGAGCTGTAAAGTCCTTTTTCTGTTTTTGATGCACCACATAAAGAATGTTTTCAGGAGTTCATAGCTAGCTCATCAGTTTTCGCAGAGGAAAGAATAAACCCTAGGTTTTTGTAGTCTATTAAAATATTTCTGCTGAGATTGTTTGAAACTTATCTTCCTAGAGAAACTGATTGGAAATACAATTTACAGTACTATTCTTGCAATAACAATTGACTTCAAGTGGAATTTTGATAGCGTGTTTCTTTCTGTTCAAACATGAACAAAAGACAGTGTATCAGTTGGAATAAATCTTTCAAGACTACCTGAGGCATCGGAGCCAAGCTCTCCATTATGACACCCCAAGCATTTCCTCCATGTAGCTTTAATAAAAGGAGCAACAGTATTGTAAAAAGAATACAGCAAGAAATTGGAAAAATCAAACCAGTTATTCCTAAGTATCTGAGGCCTAACTTCAGAACTTGTTTCTACAGTTTAGATGCCAATGAGAGGGGAAAAGGTCTGCTTTACTTCAGTAGTAGTTTTAAACATTCTTTTTGTTTTAGAGAGGTAATACAGTCACGCTGTTCTCGAAATTTAAAGAAGAACATGTATCATGTTAGACATTTGTGACAACATTTAATAATTTATTAAATAGCAATTTAAGAAGTCACAAATTCTGATCCTTAGAGGAAAAGCTAGCTCTTGTAGTCTTCCAGTTATATAAAAGATTAAAATGTAGATAAGTAGTAAGTGTGCAAAGCTACTGTTAAAATGCAACAAAGCTATTGGATTATTTTAAACCATTAAAATAACCATTATTCAAGTCTTGATATACTTGAATTCCAGCGATGCGAGTTCGAGTTCATGTGTTTTTAACTAGCAAATTTCATCAGTGTTTTGTTACCAGTTCAGTAAGATAAATTATCAACAATTGCAGAGCCCGTCATGTAAATGAGAAACAGGCTTACTATGGTATATGTACATAGATTGCTGTAGTGACAGTCTTGAATAATCGTTATGTAATGGAACAGAAACGTTGACTGTCTTTATGCGACAGAACAGTATTTCCAAAAGTTAGTATTTCTAAATTTGCTTGAATTTTAAGGATACGCACACTCAGGTATTCCTACTCTGTGTAAGGTTTTAATTTAAAATTAAATTTAAACTGCTGTAGACTTCATTGTGATTTAAGCTGGAACTATTCAGGATCCATAGTTTGTCAAACTGGTCTGTTATGCAGCCTTCTGTTTGACAGCTAAGCTGAACTGACATCTGGTCCTCTAGGGGAAACTAAGTTATCGGTAGCCAGATTTAACTATCTGTCATTCTTAGTAAGTGTAAAGTTCTTCAGTGGATTGTATTGAATGGGAGAGAGAGATTTAAGGTAAATACAAGTTCAGCGGCAGAGTCAGCAAGAATGGGCAGGATTATATATTATGGTGTGCTCTCGAGGAGTCAGAATTCTGACTTCATATTGCTGACCAAAATGAAAAATAACGGAAAGCAGAACTTGAGGATGTGCTCCCACATAGAGTAAAGCACAAAGTTTGAGATGGGGTGCCTGAATAATTCAAACTGGATGATCACAGTGATTTTTCTGTATTGTTATACTGAAACAGACTCGACAAATAAAACTTTTGACAGGTTACTGCAGTACAGTTGACATAGTAATGTGGCACTCAGAAACGTTTACCTTTCCTCAGGCAAAAATCTGTAAGTGCGTAAAGAGTCTTGAAATGTGGTGTTACCAGTCCCGAGTACTTGATACCGTGACCAAATCGCAGTGTGTTGTATCAAGGCAGATTTTATACAGCAGAATAAAACTGTGCCAACCTTTGGTGTCAAATTTTGTAGATGATGCCATAGCAACCCTTCATAAAAAAAAAGAAAAAGAAAAAAAAAAGGCTTCACTTCCATGTAGCAGAGCAGCATGCAGGAAAGTGACAGCCTTGTGGTTTGGGATGAAAATCGCTATTTTTTTTTTCCTTTGCAGTGAGAAACAGGTATTCATAAAGATCTCTACTGTAGTGTGTTCCTAATTTAGCGTTTAAAGCTATGGGTTGTTAAGTCACTGTCTTTTCCTGTGGGTTAGTACTGTCAACTAGTTCATATTGCGCTTCTTTTAGTGTCAACTTTAAAAAATAACTCGGTGTATCTTGTCGAAGTACATTATGCAGAGGGTCAAACTGTGTTTTGACTGTGTATTGCCATGCATCCCTCATTTAATAAATAAGCCTGACAAATCAGCTACAGATGTTAATCACTGAGGAAGTGATGGTTGTCAGGTACTGTGCTTTTGCTAGGAGGATCTTACATGGTGTGGTTACCACCCTTAGTGGATGGAACGACCATACGGATATATCCTATAACAGAAATTTATCAGTCCTTCCCTGAAATTTGTGTAAATCATACAGTTACTCAAGCTCCATCTGCTGTGGCTTACATGAGGAGTTTAGAAAGCAAGAGGGCCCACTCTGAGCCTCGTGACTCAACAGGAGGGTCCTCCTTACTCTTTGTATCTCTTCCGTTAGACTCAAACCGTTGACCAAGTCTAATACTGGATCCAGCCGCACCTAGGCTCTATAGAGTTTAGAAAGCAAGGGGGTCCACTCTGAACCTTGTGACTCAACGGGAGGGTCTCCCTTATTCTTTGTGTCTCTGGTCTTTGTGTGAATCATTCTAACTCAGTTCTAACTCATTTTTCCTTCATATGTTTCTTCCATGCAGTAATTAATAAGGTGAACCTTGCCCTCAAACTTACTGAACCTTGTCAAACCACTGTTAAACTTTGTTAAATTCCATCAAATTTATTGAAATCTGTCAAATTATTATTTTACCTCAATAAAACATACTGCTACTTCTCTCTTTTGAGTGAGTTGCATTCCACTCATCTGTGACAAGAGGGTACCAAAATTGCAGTTTTCAGCCTTAATCTGGTCTAGCATTTTGTGACAGCAATGTAGGGTTTCCCACTTTCAGGGAACAACAGAAAGCAAGCAGGTTTCTTCTCTTAAGACTGTCCTGGTGGAGATGTATGCCTTTTCCCAGTGCAGCCTTTACAAAACATATCAACCATGTGTTTGGACTTAAACCAGAATACAGGAAAGTAGCCACAGTTCATTGAAGCAATGCTACCCAAGAGGAGAGTGGAAGTAAAATAACCCACATTGACTGAGTTTATACAATTTGTTGCACTTAAAGCTGAACCCATTGTCTTGATGCTTTTTCAAGCATCAGCTTTTTTTCTGGCTTATTGTCTGGAATCATGTTAGCACTTCTCTCTGCTCTCAGCATTACCGAAGGACATTTTTCCCTGACTCTCTCTAGACCAGTTTGTGTTATGTTCCGGCAGAAATCCACGTGGAGCGTTTGCAGTGATCCCCCATAGAGGGTCACTGCTTCTAGTGTCTGGTCAGTGATCCGCACACAGTTTTCCAGTTTGAGTGTCTTGAGGTTTGGGCAGTTCTTGAGCAGAAGCAAGATGCAATCGTCTGTAACATGGCCACATCCAGAGAGGGTCAGAGACAGCAGGTTTGGACATCTGAAAACATGATCGTTACAGGTGAGATGAGGGGGAAAATAAATAATAGAGCTTGGAGAAGCTAGTATCATTAAGAATAATATGCAAGTTAGAAAAATACCTCCTCTTCCATCAGGAGGGGCAAGAATGCATGAGTAGGTGGGGGTATATGTAGATCTTTTGCTCAGCTTTACTAATCGCAAAACTTAGCTTCTTTTTCTGTTGGTAGCAACATTTATAGCTCAATTGGCATAGTAGAGAAGGGGACGTGAATGCCTGTATAAGCTGCAGCTGCATTGTTTTTTCTTAAGGAGTTGCACGGTGCTGCGCTTGGAGAAACGCAGCGAATGAAGATCCAAGTAGAGATGAGATTCAAGTCAGGTTGAATTTGAGGACAATTGAGTGAAGAGGCTGCTGTGTAGACATGCTGAGCATGGGCAAGTAAGACACTCCCACTCTTGACTGTACAGGGATTAATGGGTGTATTTCATCTCCTTGGATTTACTGAAGAGATGCCAGCTACAACCTAAGAGTGTTGATGTTTGAAGCCCACACAACTCTTAAACCTTCCTTCAAGTCATTGAAATTGGTAAGAACTCTACTGTTAAACAACAATGCATCAAATTAAAAGAGCTTTCTTTCTTGTTGCTTGGGTGGACCTGGGAAAGTACAGAAAAGGCCTGTTCCAAGTCAGTGTGTTGATGACTTACACTAAATATCCTTGTGTAGAAAACTGGAGCAGACCAGTTATTACTAGTTGTACTGACCAGGTATATTTGCAAGGACCCTTGTGCACTAACCTGCGAACCCTTTGTACAAAGCGTTTGGTTTCTGGCTTACATCTCTCTCCAGGGAGAAGCAGTTCTGCTATCCATCGATTTAGCTAAATGCAGCTTCATGTTTCTCTATTAGCACAGGACTTTAGGCTCTGTTGTTGTGGGGAGAAATGGTTACAGCAATGCTCATGTTGATCTTGTGAGACCTTTGGACAGAACTATTAGCCTGCCTCCGTCCTGTAAGAACCATATGGTGCCTGTGAGCACTTCGATATAAACATTTGTGCCTATAGCCTGTATCAGGGTTTGAGGTGTACAACAGCAGTGGGGGCAAACAAGGGGCTCTGCCATCACTGCAGCGTTTTCTTTTGTCCTTAAAAATTGGTACATGGTGCATTCCTCTTTCTCTACACCCCACCCCATCCCCCTTGCTGCTGCTTGACTTCACCTTTTGAGCAGAGGTAATTACGTTCATGTCAGCTGCATCATCTTTTTTTTACTCTTTTCCTTTATGCTTATGAACAGTTAGGAGAACAAATGTTTTAAAGCAGGCAAGATCAAGAAAGGCTCTGACCTGCCATCGCTTGTGGCTTCGCCAACAGAATAAAAGTACTCCAAACTCAGGGAGAAAAGCTGTGTATATGATTAATTTCCATTTTTCTTTGCAGAGAATGCTAGGAATTTTGTTTGGATGGAAACGCTTTCAACGGGGTTGCTGCAAAAAAGGCAGGATCTTGTCTTAGGAAGGCTAAAATGGAGGGGGGGGTGAGTGTGAATATAATAAACTGTCATTTATAAGAGTTCAGTTTAACTTGTGGAAATGAATCTATGTAAGGCTGAAAGGCACTTGCTGCATTTTTATGGACTTGGAGATTGCTTACTACCCAGGCTTTGCTTTGAATTTTGTCAAGCAACCAGTTTGGGCTTATGGATTCTGCAGAGGAAAAAGGCACTTATTTCTACAGAGCTGTAGTTTTGCATACTCTTTCTGAATCCTAATTTGTGATGGCAAAAAATGGAAATAAATAAGAGTGGCCTCATGGTAGACATTCCAGTGCCAAAATGAGAGAATACTTGCTTCTACGCCCTCCTTTGTAGGCATAGATGTGCTTCCCTAATACTTTGCTAATTAATCCACATTTTTAATCAGTTGTTCTAGAACAGTTACTTCTGAGATTTTGTACTTGCAACTTAACGTTCTGTTTTGAACCTACATTTCAGTCCTTGTTTTGAGATTGCACTGTTGCTGGTTCTCACAAAGACACTGTGTCCTGTCAGTATCCTGTAGTTTGTTGGATTTTTTACAATTGTTATTTCCACATAGAACTTTCTGCCTTCCATGTTGTGGCACAAAGCTGAGGGCTGGCTGTGGCACAAAGGCGTGCCATTTCAGGACAAGTACTGACATGCCCCTTTCAGCTCTAACTATCCTCGGTGTTACTAAACACTAGGATTGGCTCTACCCCATTTGCTCCTCCTTATGTAATTTAACTTTTTTTTTTTTCTTAAGAGTGGGTTTGTAGCAGTAAAGAAATAAGAAATAAGAAGAAATTTTGTCATAAGAAATTGTGTGTGCCCAGAGGTGCTTTTCCACAGTGGTATTTCTTTTCCTTTATAAAAAGCTTAGATAATAAGAGTTAAATTTCAGTACAAAAGCAATGCTTATTTATTAGAATGAAACAAATTTTGGTGTTTAGTAATGTGTTTAATGAACTTAGTTTTGTTGCACCTCTTTCCTGTAGCCCCTCCCCCCCAGGACAATGCTTTGCGCTGCCAGAAGGGTATGTTTCAGTTAAGCAGCAATTTAGTAGGCAGTACTGCACTTTTCTATATTAATTATTAACTCTTAAAAAAAAAGCGGGGGGTGGAAATAGGCTTAAGGAGAAGTATATGCTATTGCCACTATAAAACCAACTTAGTTAATGCTATATTAAAACTGCAAAGTCAAAGCACTCACTTAATGCTCCATTTCAGATAAATAGGATGTAAATAGCTGACAGTTGTCTCATTTCAAGGCAGTTAACCTTTACAGTAGATGTAAAAGTTCACACCCGAAGAACGTACCTGTTGCAAACTTCTAGTAAAAAATCATTGACAGTGTTTTCATGCCTGTTACAGAAGTCTTTCTGGAAATTGTTTTTCATCCAGTCCTCAATGTTACACACCTTGACTCTCTCTGAATACCAGCAGATGGATAAGTATTTTAAAGCAGGTCCCAGGAGAAAATTATCCTTCTTTAGTTCCGCTGGAGAATGAAAGTGTAACAAAGACCACAGTAAAGGATCCTGAAACACTTCCAGCAACTTGTGACATGTTTTTGCTAGACATTTCCTACTATTTTTGTCCAGAAAAGAAAATAGATGTAAAAGGCATTCCCGATTCAGCTGGGTTATATGCATAGCCCGTCAGAGAGTGTGAGAAAGAAGACAGTCTCCTGGCCTTGCAGAATAACGGCAGTGCTGGAGGGGGCTCAGAATCACCAGAAGGCTGTTGCACATATATGGTTGTGGAATGGTGTTTATTTTTGGCGAACAACTGCTGCAGAAGCTAAGAACAGCGAAAGGAAAAGAAACATGCATGCATGAAACTCTTGTTCTGTTTCTACAAGGGAATGGAATGGGCATGTAGAATAGCAGTACTTGACTTTCATGAAATGCTTCCTTAAAAGGGATTTCTTTCCTTGTAGGCACTCCTTAAGTTTAGCAAAGTTAGTTCCTAACTGGGGGGGGGGCGCGCGGGACGGGATGGTGGGTGGTAGCTTACAGCTGCAAGGAGTAGCTTTGCCAGCCTCTCCAGTTTGGAGGATTTGGCTTTCAGAGCGGAAGTTTGTTTTTGCAGTGTACAATTTTAGCCTTGATTTGTTCACTGATTTTTCTAAGGTTGCACTTTTCCTTCATGTTCAATGACTGTTTACACTGGATAATGAAATTTCACGAACAGCTTGTAAAATGAGTTGAAAAATTCCCTGGGTGCTTTAACATGTGTACATAGTCTGCAGCTTTAATTTACAAGCCTCAGACTTAGGGCAGTTTCCTGCACACTGTTGTTTGAATAAACAAAGCTAGCTGGTTCCCTGCCTTTTGCATGGAGGAAAGTAATGATACACAGGAACAGCATGTCTATGTTTAGCTGTTTGTAGGTTTGTGCTTTTAATAGATGTCTTCTATTAGCTTGACTTTTACAAGTTTTCTTGTGTTGTTTATGTTTTTGTAGGCTTAGTTCTATTACTGTAGACTTGGCAGTTTTGGTGGGAAAAGGATATACAGAATTGGTTTTAGGAATAAAAGCGTGTGTTTTCCAGTAATGAGAGAAACTGTAGCAGAAAGTTTCTCCTAGAAGAAAAATAAAGCTACAGCAAATGGCAGGTTGGAATTAAAAGCAACAACAAACAGCCCTATAACTTTCATGTTTGTGAAATAAAAATGCTCGAGATTAAGGTAGTTTATGCCCATCTTCTGTCTGATGGTGATACAGGAAAATAATACATTCAGTGAAGTAGCAGATCTTAACATCAAAACAGCCCTGCAGGAATTTTTGAAGTGGCTTGCACAATTTTAGTAGCTGGGAGATTTTATGTACCTGTGCATTTTGATTGGGTTTGTTTCAATATATGACAGGGTTAAGTGGGACCAAAGTTCATCTTTTCCTTCTTACCCTGAGAATGTAGTTTGAAATTCAACTCTGAAAAACAAGATTTGAAATTTGTTTGCAGTCTGCAACAATTATTTTAGCTTCTATCTGTGCTTGAGTAATGTGTATGCTTACACACAGTGACTCCAAAAAATGACAATTATGGATCTGTTTAATTCTTTGGAGTTAGTAATTTTCTATTATACATGGTAAGCAGTGCTTAACAGTTGCCAGTCTTTTTGGTTTCATATCCTTTGTCATTTAATATTATCCTTGAAACGAGAAGGAGATTTCTGCTCCCCACCCACACTCAAAAACAGGCTATGGACAGTGGCACGAGTACTTTATGAAGCCACAGAAGGGACAAGAAGAGAAGATGATTTCACATACCAGGTAAGCCGGTCACTGGAAAACAGCAGCTTAAATGGTGTACCAGCAGTTGTTGTTCTTCATTCTCATGCTAGCATTTTCAACTCTTGTCCCTTCATCCTTTTCAGAACTTACCTTAATTTTTGAGCAGGTTTAAATAGTTAAGACTGCTCAGAGTTGCAGTACATACACACAGGAATATCATTTATTAAAAAAAAAACAAAAAAAAACCCCAAAAAACACAACAAATGAGCAAACTTGAATGACAAGGTTACCATCGCTAGGATGGACTCTTACTACAGTCTGACATGAAAATTAACAGCCTTAAAAATTGAACAGCAGGTCCTCTTTGGGTTTAGAGGCTAAGTTTTGGTAGAGGTCTTAAAATAGTAGGAACCCTTCAATTTGCTTTATTTTGTTTTCCCCCGAACAAGGTAAAATACTCTGCCACTCTGCAGAGGATTTACACTAATGATATTCTGCAAGCCTGTAGAAGGACAAGAGGAGTTTCATTTTCTAAGGAAAGGAGACACTTTAATGGCACATTTTCCATAAACACACTGTGAATGAGAGAGAATTCACATTCAACCTGGAAACGCTCCAGAAACACACAAGATGAGCACAGTCAGTTATCCTCACTGAAAATTACACACTAGATTTTAATGGTAAACAATTACAACTATGGCACTACAGTACTTGAGGATATCCTAAAGCACATTGGAATCAATTTTCAAGGTGCTGATACCTCAGCAGTAAGACACAGACACATCAGTAATGAAACATTGTTGGGGAAACTTTTGAACACCACGTGTTACACTTTCCATTGATTTAGTAAAATCCTTGTAAATGGCCTCCTGCTTTTCACACAAGTCCACTGTCCCTGCCTGTCTGAAAGTTTTAAACTCTCCTCTCAGGCAGACATCTGTTACCACCGGGAAAGCACCTTCTGAGTATACAATGAGGAGCTCTGTTTCTAAGTGCATGCCTTAGAGCGTTGCATAATGCTGCACTTAACAGCTCACTATACAACACACTAAAGCAGACGTATTCTGAGAGCTGGACATTTTGCAGTTTTGTTTTACATAAATCTTGTCTCCAGTTGTATACGTGGCTAAACAGTTACTAATGAAAGGACAACCTTTGATGAGACAAATTTTGGTGAAAAATATGCAAGTCTTTGAACTGTAGAGAGCAGTTGTTGCTTGCAGAGCAATCACAAGCAAGAAAAAAAATTCTTGCCAGTTAGTGTGTACTACGATCAGCAGTAAGTAGAAAAGAAACATTTGGCTTAAATGAAATGAGATATTCCCTCTCCCCCAAGCTAGCAGATAAATATAGGATATACAAGTAAGGTTAAAAATGTAATACTAGGCCAGGTGCAGTATATGTTACTGGTTCAGTGCTCAGTTACTTTTTTTTTTTTCTTTTGACACCACACTGAATAGAATACAGTGGATAAGCAAAGTTCTCCACCAGGAAGAGAAATACTTGTGTTGCCACAACAAACTGTTCATACTGTCCATCTGGGTTTGCAGTGGGAGAAAGTTAAATTAGGAAAGGATTTACAATGTACTTGTTCCAGCAAAACATATGGCCGAGCCGTTACCACCACATGCTGCAAGAACAAGCCTGACATGATTGCATTGTGTTCCCATGGCCGTGTCTCAAATGGACTATGCTGGATAGATACCATTGCCCAAGACCTTAATGTTACAGAGCAAATGTTACTGAAAGGAAATACTGAAGTGAGAACATAACTCTGACACAAGAAATTTACTGGAGAAGTAGAAGCTGTTTAAAGTAAGTAAGTGAATGAATGTTGCTGAAGATTACAAATTTAAGTTTCTACAAGTAGAGAAAGGCACATTTACATCACTGGTTTGCGAGAACACTGCATACACCTGACTACTGTAAGTTAAACTGCTTCTGGCCCATAGCTAGTTGTGTATTTTAAGCTTTGTATTCTCAAAACTAAAATTCTAAAGCAATCCAATCCAAGTAGCATGCAGACAAAACGCAGCTATAGATGGAATCTACTTAACTCCCCAACTAACTGTGAGCAGTAAGGCTGCCTGCCCTTCAGGATAATCATGTGGTAAGATACTTCACTTGCCCCGCACACCAATGAAGTCAGTCAAATACCTTTTTCTGCCTTGTATAAATGATGACGGCCACCTATTCTGATTAGAAGAAAGGCTCTAGCTGCAAGAAACAGAGAAATGGTAGGTGACAAACTATCTACAATTTAAAGCAATGAATAGTTCTATTTATTGTTCAGCTTGAGTAAAAGAAAACATCCTTATATATATGTCACTTAATGTATCAAATAATAATCACAATAGGTTTTAACTAGTGTACAGTTTACATATTCATATACCATTAGCAGTTTTATATTAAGCCAATTTCTCTCTTGCCTGGTTTAATATGCTGTGAAAAAGCTATGAAAGAGGACATTTTAGGAAACATCTGACTGTGATTTTTTTCATACTTGTCAGTGTACAGCTAGCAGGTAACCCACAGCAAGGAAAGTAGAGATACTCCATGTGCACCAGGTTGAGCTATGGTACAATCTGTAGGGAAATTTTTACTATGTGCTATATGATGTCTTTCAGAAGCATTAACTAAAAAAGGGTAATCACATTTTACTTGAGTTCTTATATGTTTTCAGATGACTTATACTGTTATCACAACTACAAGGTGCTGTTTGATTGTGTGACTCCTCTACATTAAGTAAATTCTACTCTCCCTACCATGCTTTTAAGATTTTAGGAGTGTCCAGTTCCTTGCTAGGCACACAGGGGCTAGCTAGACAGGATGGGCTAGGGGAAGAGAAATGAAATGCAGCATTTGTCAAATTTCAGATTTTTTGGGTGCTCCTGGCTTTCCTGTCCACCTTTTTAAAATCATATTAGCTGACTTCCACTCTCCAGAACAGCAGTACAGCTAAAATGCGATTACTTTTTTTTAAACATAAGTCTTTCTCCATTACATAGCCAAGTTTTAGAAATTGTATCATGCCACCACTGTTCATCAAGAGACTGTAAATAAAGATCCCGCATTGGGCCAATGCATAAATATTACAGCTACCCGAGTCTGCTCCAGTCAACAAGCAGTCTTGGCTCATCATCTCCCATCAGGCAGGCTGTGCTGTGAAACCGAGCATCTTCCCTTTAGTTTGCATTTAAACTGATAAAACAATTGTCATAAGCAAAGGATCTGGAACACCATCCGCTTCCTTTCAGTTTTAAGTAAGTGAACTGCAGGCATTTAGTGGACAGGAGCTATATATTTAGACCTAAGACTGTTCTCACAAACCCCAAACTTTGGGACTGTACTCCCAATTCCCACCAGGAAGGAGGGTTGGGGTCCCATTGCCAGGAAGTCTCCAAGCAAGTAAGTGTTCACAATCAAATTTCAGGATGACAGTCTAAACCAGGAGATGTCTAAAGCAATTCTGGTTCAATTAAAAAAAACATAAATCTCAATACAATTTAGACATGTATATATTTTAAAATAATTTTTTTAAATTTGAAGGGTTGGAAGGCAGAGTATATTTGAGGAATACTTGAATTAAACTGCAGTATTGATACAATTGAACCAAGTGTTTATTTACAATGAGTCCTGAAAGTCAGCAGCCTGAATACACACCAATATAGCAGCAATTACCGGGTCTATTTAATGATGCCACATCTCCTCTCTTCTGCAGACAAAGAATGATTGTTCAGAGGTCGCTGTTTAGTTTCTTGCACGAGGGAAAATAGTACGTGCAAACAATTCCTTGATTTAAAGAGATTAAATCCTATCTACATAACAGCTGTGAGAACAGTATGAAGTTGTATTGCTCTTCATAATCAGAAGCACATTTATCTTGCTTGTAAGGAGGACAGAAAGCTTCTCTGATGTAAATGTGCCTTTAGAAAGTGAGAACTGAAAACATTAATATAAAAAAGTCAAATAACTAAGTATTTCATGAAACTATATATATAAAAATTGAGTTATCACAACTAAAGCAGCAAATCAAAATCTGCTGAGGTTTTCTGGTATAACTAAAAAAAAAAAAGTTAGTCTGTGTCCAAGTTCAGTAAGTCAAATGCTACCATTGACACAACAAAACTAAAACCCACAAGAGGAAATTGAAAAGTGCACAATGAAATTAATAGTCTTGGATCAAGTATTTATGGAAAAATGGAAATGTTTTGTCCGGTGGACTTGATAAGTAAGAATTAAAAGGAGGTATTAAAGTTTATCTGATCCAGATTTGGCTTGCCGTTCCACGTAGAAGAGGATGTAGGCCTTGGCCTTTACCACAGTCTCCTCGTCGGTCAAAGTTACAGTACTGTCATTGAAATGGAACCAACGGCCTTCATGAGCTGCATATGCGGTGTAATGTCCAGAGCCAACGCTGTCAGC